AATACATTACCTTAAACTACAAGTGAATTAAATGAAACATATTTACAAAGATAAAAGTTAATAAATTGTATTATTGTATTTAGAGAATATTAAAAACAAGAATTGTAAAATCACTTACTAAATAATTTCTCCAGTTATACACTCTTACGGTCTGCTATGATTTCCACAAAGTTATTGTTTTTAAACCAGTTAGCCATACTTCTGTAGTTGACTAAAAAACCTTACATATATATCCATTATATAATGCTTTACTCTTCCTATATCCTTTGATCTAAGTTGATCACCAGTAAATCGAGCCTCTGGTCTATGTAGATTACCAGTAAGATCCAAAGAAGTCAAGCCTCTGATCTAAGTTAATTACAAATAAGACCGAAAAAGTCAAATGCTTTTCTTTGATTCAAGGTGATTATAGTTCATGGGAGTATTCTTGTAAATGCATTTGACTTTTTTTACTTCTGATCTGCTTTCTAAGATTCAAATAAGCCAGTACGATGCTTTTGTAATTTGCTTTGGTTAATACTTTTTTTCCTAAGTTAACTATAAAACCGCTATAAGAAATTAAGAAGTTAGGGTGTGATCTACAACATTTCTAATAATGCTTTTTTTTTTAATACGGTAATATATATGAGTAAGTTAAAGATGCTCAGTTATATTTAATAAAAAAATTGACCAATCACAATAAAATTATCTGTATATAGAAGACCGTTTTGGGACTGTGAACTGGAACCGAATTGAACCGTAAGTACTATGTAATCGGTCTTACTAAGGACCAGGACAGACCGGACCAGACCGGTGCATCTCTAGACAAAAGTGAAAACTTATGTCTTGTATCTGACAGATGGTCTGATTTAATACAGCAGCATTGGACTAATTACATTTTGACAACTTCCAAACCTGTTTTTTTCACTGTATATCCAACTGGTGAAATTCGCCAAAATGGTGAAACAATCGCCAAAGATCTTGAAAAAATAATTATTGAAGTTGGCCTGTCTAAAATCTCAGCTCTAATTACGGATAATGCCTCCATTATGAAGAAAGCGTGGCGTATACTAGAACAAAAATATCCTAAAATGTTTTTTTAGGTTGTGTAGCACATAGTTTAAATCTTCTAATCGGTAATATCTTAAAGATTTCTTGGTGTGCAAATATTTTAAAAAATGCTAAGGAAATTGTTCTATATTTCCGATCACATCAAATTCCAATGGCTATTTTACGTAGACACCAATCAGCAACATATAAACATCGAGTGTCTTTAAAGCTACCAGTTAAAACACGATAGGGATCTTCAGTAACATGCCTCAATTTATTATTACAAAATAAGCTTGCGCTTAAATTAACTATCACGGAAATAGCATACAACAATCGTGAAACATTACCAGAATTAATCAATAAAACTATTAAGGATAAAAATTTTTAGAAAGATATCAGAAATCTTCTTCTAATATTAGATTAATTAATTGTTGATATTTCACTATTTGAGGCTAATACACCATGATTGGCTTTATTTTATCTTTGGTATCATGAGCAGTTAGAATCGGATAGTAAATAATTTTATACTGTATATTAAAATTAATATTCAAATTGTATATTAAATTATAATTACTATATCTTTTAGAAATAAACAGTCAAATTAAAATTTTATTTGAAAATTGATGGAAAAAAATATTCCATCCAGTTATAGCATTCGCTTATCTTTTAGATCTACAATATAATGGATGAAAACTTACTGCTAATAGTATGTTAGTACTATCACAATTTGTTCAAAGATACTATCCAGACAATGCAAATATTATCTGGCAACAATTGATCAAATATAAAACAAAAATGGGCATCTTTAATCTTCAATTAGCATGGGATACAGTTAATGATATCGACTCTATTGCTTGGTGGAAAGGTAACTTTGAAACTTCAGCACCCGAATTATATGAAGTAGCTATTTGAATTCTTTCAATCCCTTCATCATCTGCAGCTTCTGAACACAACTGGTCAGCTTTCTTATATATTCAAGAAAAAAAAAGAGCCAGATTAACTAATGATCGAGTATTAAAATTAGTATATATTTATAGCAACTATAAGCTTACTTGTTTGCGGCAACAATTATCTGATACAACAAAAGCAATGGCACGAATTAATAATAGATTAACTAGACATCAAAAAAATGCAGAGCTATTAGATCCGATAGATGATGATTTAGATAATTCTTATGAAGAAATTATAGTAGAAAATAAAGATAAAGAATTGTTTGATTGTATCGAAGAAACTGAGTGAAATAGATGAAGAAATTGAGAATATAGAAAGTGAATAATTATTTTAAAGTCAGATGTAAAGCGCAAATAATTATATATTTAATGCACAATAAAGATTATCTTTGCTTTATAATAACAATAATAATGGCATTCATATTGTTGCATTATAAAATTCCTTAAAAATTATTATATTAGTACATGTATGCATATAGTTCGCTCTAACAGTAACAAGAGCTACCAATAGTAATTTAGTATTAATCATGTGCATCATGCACATCATGCATATTATGCACACTTTTGCATAATACACGCTGTATGGTTCAGAATCTGCATTTTGCCCATCTCTAGTGGGAACAGAATTAGATTCAGAATTTTTAAGGTTAGGGTTTGGTTTTGTATAATTATTCCATCTAATATAGGCGAATTTGAATCTATTACGATTCCTAAATATGTATAAAAATTGTAGTTGCATGACTCAGAAAGAAAGTTGTATTTCAGGATAAAAATTTGCTCTGCTATGTGGATCAAATAAAGCATACGTATCTGTTACGTATGAACATTCTGAATCATGTAAGTGTGAGAATTAATCAGTAGTGTGGCGTGGTAGGTTTATGATACGTACGATACTTATGTTAATTTATAAGGATTAAAACAGGAAGTTACACAACTGATTTTATACACGGTGTGAAACATATAAAAAACTATTTTACAATACTTGATCAGACTTGCTAGTACATGTTATTTATAATTTTCTTATGTGTTTCACACCATGTATAAAATCAGTTGTGTAACATCAACGTTTCCTCCTGTTTAAGGATTATTATGTGATTATTGTGATAATAATTAATAATAAAACTAAGTTTCGTTCGTTATACGCACTTTGGATTAAATTGACTGATATGGATAATGTTAATAACATGCGTTAGTGAGCCACGAAATGTGTATCACCAGATAGTAAGGTTTGCTATAGAATTTTTTACAGTTAATTCCAACGCAAACTAATTCAACCACATATTGTAATTATTAGATAGCAAGCAAGTTTTGTAGGAATTGCAACAGAATTCTTTACGAAAGAAATAATAACTTCAATACAAACTAACTCAAGCTTAACTACACAAAAATTAAGACAATTCTAATGCAAGCTAACTCAACCTCAACCACATCGTGGTCGGGTATGTATTACAGAATTTTTTATGTAACTCATACGTAGTAGAAACTATGAAAATTCTAATACAAACTTACACAACCTACTAGAATAGCAAATAATTTCTAAAATAGTAATATCAATTCATAAAGGGTGAGTTTTTTTGCTAAGTATTTGTTGAGTTATCGTATATCCGAAGTTACGCTGCCCCATCAGTGTAAAATGTCTGAAAAAAATTGAAAGCTCTTTTGGTGTTCCTGTGGTCGTCAATACACAGAGAATTTATGGGTGAATAGGATATATGCTAACTAATAAGTGCGTTACCGTAGACTATTCTGGCCGTGCAACATTTAGTTGTTAATAACTATGGCATAAATACTTATTTAATTATTTAAAATAATAGTCGTCGAGAAGATGGTGGTGTGAACATTATTTATAAACTTCGAAGAAATAAAAAAATTGGATACAAGTTAAAAATTGGTGTAATATGATAGGTAAATATTGTATTTATTTATTTATTTGTCTTTTTTTTATTAATAACGCTATAATTAAATAGTTAATTAATTATAGGGCCAGATGTCGTTCATGCATTAAGAGTGTTACATGCTTAAAAAGAGGCGTTATAGGTGTTGTGGTTGCAAACAAGTTTTCCCCCCGGCGCAATAGAAGCAGCAAATTTATCCCAAAAATATCCGATAATCCTTACTACTAAAACCCGTTTCCTTCAAACTTTCCTTAATCTTACCCTCAACATAAATACCCGAACTCCCGTTAACCCTACTTACTATAACAAAGATTTTATCCTTAACCATTAATTCCATTCTAACTATTATCATTTTTTTTTTACTGCTGCAACTATTACTATTCTCTTTTTACTGCTTTAACCATCGTCATTCCTTTTTTTTACCACTTTAACTATCGTCATTCCTTTAATCTTTTATCAATTTAACTATAGTCATTCCTTTTTTTTTAAATTCCCCATGGGATACCCGAGCATTAACCTCCACATGGTGTATCCTGGATTATACTAATGAATACTCATTTTTATTATTATTTCGCTTTTTATATACATATTTTAATAAATAAATATAATCTAACATCTTCAATTCATTGATAAATATAGTATTGCAAATAATGAAGTTCCAAAATCAAGTTTGGCTAAATAACTCAATATATCTTTTTGTTAGAAAAATCAATACCGAAGCCTTATTTTGTCTAAATGCACAAATTCCTATAATGTATTGTTCTGTATTTTATCAATTTTATTTTAAATATTAATAAAGCTAGCCCTAGTGGCTGATTTCATATAAATATAATAAGTTTTGCAAGTGTATTTCGTGAATTTATTATTTTATCATTTTTACAAGTATATTGTATCGATGTATATTAATTTGCATATGACCGAAAAATTGGAATAGACACGTTTTTATTTTGAATATATCTGCATTTTATGTAAAACAATAGCAGATTCACAAACTACAATTGCTTCGCTAAGAGAATTAAATTCTAAACTTACACTCGAGATTACCGAAATTAGAAATAAATATGCTAAAGTTGAGGCTGAAAAGGCTGAACTTGAGGTTAAGAATACCGAGCTTTTAAAACGGATTATGAAAGAAAACAGCAAACGCGAAGCTGATCATACAAAACTTAAAGAAGATACTACTAATCTCAAGACCAAAAACACTGAGCTTGAAGCCGAAGTAGCAAAATCAAAAAGAAAAATCAAACACAGAATGCATTTTCTACAGAAGAGATTTCATCTACTTCATCTAATAACACTTCAAATTCTTATGAACTTAATAATGTTCCAAATTTTGATGTATCTTCGTGCCTGAAGTTGACACTTCAGGTGCCTGAAGTTGCAACTTCAGGCAAAAACATCAATATGTAAAAAATAAAGCAACTTCGGGCCTCAAATGAACCTAGAGTGGGTTTATTTACAGCTGTTTTCATAAATTCCGAGACAACTGATAAAAATTATTTCGGCCGAATTCGATAAGTTTTTGAATTCGGTATTATTGGAATTTGATTTCGGCGAATTCAAAAACTTATCGAATTTATCGAATTCAGCTGATCAATTTTTATCAGTTGTTCCAGAATTTATGAAAACAGCTATAAGCCCAAAATTAATTTAAATGAATCTGAAGTGGGTTCATTTGAATCCAAAATTGGCTTAAATGAACCCGAAATCTAACCTAAGAAAAAAAAATAAAAAATAAAAAAAATAACTGAACAAATGCACACAAAACCAGAGATGCGGTAACAGATGATAGTAAAAGTAAGAATTTTAGATACAAAAATCAGTAACCCGGCATAAATTTGTATACCTCTTTACTAAATATTTAATAATTTTCATTTTTTTTTTCGGATTTTTTTACTGGGCTGATGAATTGATCAAAGACTTGAGTGAAGGAATTTGTTGATCATTTCTAAATATACATAATGATCACTGTATCAATATAGGATTTATAGGAAGACATTCATATGATTGGCTAATTTTGTCAATCTACCCGTAATTGCCCGTGATAATTAACCAATCAAATTACATAATTTTTTTAAAATGTTTATCATTTTAATACTAGAAACAAAAAAAACTTCACTTAAAGAAGTTTACAAACCAATAAATTACATGCGAAGAACTTATCGCATAAAGTTAGAAAACAGATAGATACGTGTAAAGTTGAATGAATGAATGTAATATTTATTATTAAATACCCAACTCATAAAAGAGTTA